TTATTAGAGCATAAGCTTTCGTGGGCTACAACCGATGCATCCGAAGAAGTGGGTTGTAGCCCACGAAAGCTTATGCTCTAATAAATTTGTTAGTCTCTAAGGTGCCACAAGTACTCCTGTTCTTTTCTTTAAAAAGGTAAATTTTATTAAACCCAAAAAGAAAGAAAATACATCTGGAACTTAGGCTTTTTGCTAGATCTTAAAGGAAACAATTACAAAAATTAAGCATCAAGATAGATCTCTTGAGGTTCAGCTTAAAGGTTACAAGCAAAACAAAAGTATCTGGGGTTAGCACAGAGAAGTCCACAAGCCTTACAAAATAAAAGAAATAAACCTAATTACATCTTTCTAGACATTCCTCATCTACTTACACATCTGGGGTTTCAGATAAGTAGGTTTGAGGTATGAATTGAGGCTTTTTCATACCTGGTTTTAAAGCTGCTTACAGCATTGCTGCTCTGTGTATCCCCTCTCTGGAAAACAACAACAGACACAAAGGGAAAGTTTTTTTTCCCAATTTAAAAAAGTTCTAGCCTTCCCATTGGCTCTTTTGGTCAGGTGCCCACTCCTTTCCTTTTACCTGTGGGCTTGTTAACCCTTTACAGGTAAAATAAGTAGAGAACAACCACCAAGAGGGATTCCATAGCCAACTAGATTGTTGGGTGTCCACAAAAGAGAACTATCCCGCCTGTCATTTATCACATATGCTTTGTGAGGTATCACTTGAAAACTCATAATCTGTTGAACATTATTGTCCTGGTAAAATATGTGTGGCAACATTGTATGTAAAGTTATAAGATTCTACTGTATGACTTTACTGAGACATGCTCCAAGTATAGAAAAGCAGGCATGTGACGGGCAACCACATGGGGGTTAACCAGTCACTTTGGGCACAAGAGGCCACTCCCTCTCACCTGTGCTCCAGGTGGAGAGAGCAGATAAAAGGGGCTGGCCAGCTCATGTGGGCCTGGCTGAGGGGGAGGATGGACATGCGCTGCTGGCTCCTACCAAAGATCAGTCAACCCCCCAGACAGCTGAGGTATCCTGGACTACGCTGTGGAGAGCACACCGGCAGTAGAGACTGACACCAAACTGACAGGGACACCAAACTGCTGCTAGTGGAAGAAAGGCGTGCATTGGACTTAAGGGTAGGCAGTGACCCAGGGAATGTACTGGATGCCGATACTTGAATCCTGAACCTCAGCCAAGTGGCAGAATAATCAAAGGGACCATCACCTGGTTAAGCGGCCATTCTCTGGCAGGAAAAACGGGGTGAGCAAGACATTTACATGTTTGCAAAGAAACAGCTAAGGGATACTAGGCAGACTGGGAGGCTCAGGCGCTTGGGAACTGGTTCTGAGACCTTTTGCCCTTGAGTGCTGATTGGGATCAGGCCTTTTTTAAAGCACCTGACAATGATCTCTGGATTAGATGGACCACTGCTCTTCTCAGGCATGCAGATTCCTAGAGCAGCATGATGACCCTCTAGATGGTGTTACCTGTCAGCTCTGTGTTCTTGGGGAGCCAGGGCACAGTATCCAGGCTGTCTGACTCACGAAGGAAACCCCA